TACTGGCTTTCAGAGCATTTTGCTACAACCTGGATTTGAGGGGATTCTTTTATTAAAATCGGGTACATCCACATGCCTTTCACCCCCAAATGCCAGAGCCTTTTGGAAACAAATGCATCGCAGCTCACTAAGTCAAGAGAAATCCATTCCGGTTTTAGAAATTCAATTTAGCTTGGGTAAGCCTCCAAGCTCCAAAAGTAAGCTCTGTCAGGAGGTTTATTATTCATAACTCTTCCCTTCAGCTTGGAAGTTGCCCAGCAACCACTCTCCTCCCAAGATTTTCCTCCTTGGGTCTGTCCATAGAGAAATTTCACTCTTGGAGTCTCTTTGGACTACCAGCATGAAAATGTGCATCAAGATATTAGGCAAAGTTACTGTCTTGGGGGGGGTGGATCTTTTGACTGTATCTAAACTCATCACTGGAGGTGATTAATCTAGATTTAGAGGGATGTAGCTGTATGTATAATAAACATCTTGGCAATTGAAAAGGAGCAATCAAACTCAGGTAAAGAATTTGTGATCAGAGCTATGAACTACTGTTTTTCTCAAAACGCAACTCGCTGTCGAGCGAATGCTGATTCATGTCAACCCTCTGTGGGTTTCTGAGATTGTAACTGTGTACAGAAGTAGAACGCCCAGTATTTTTTCAGTGGAGTGGCTGTTAGTTTCAAACTGCACACCTTGCAGATCACAGCCCAACTCGTAGCCACGACACCAAGGCTCATAATGTTTTACTCTGGACTTGCTTCTTATAGAAGGGTGAGCATCTGGGGGAGTGAGGAAGATTTCAGGGGCATTCTGTTAATATAGATGTCATAGTTCACATCCTGACAGCAGTCACAACAATAAAATAAACCTTGGAATGACAAGAAGCCTGACTTCTATCCAGTGGCCCTCTCAAGATAGTGTTTCAGATAACAAAATTCCAGAGCACCACTCAAGAATTGAGACACCCTCGTGTTTTAATGTGAGAATCCTCAACGTGTAGCATCGGTAATATGAACTTTAATTTAAAGCCACCTACAATTCACTCCAATTGTCTTAAATGTTAAATAAGGACTTCGACCTGACTTGACATATTTGGAATAAGAATACATTGAGGGTTGGAAGAATAATAAATTTAGGAGTTTTCATCCTATGATTAATTGAACATTATCCAAGCCTCGTAACATTTTGATGCTTTACTCTTCATATATCTATTCTCATGGATCCTTATTCTTTCAAGACAAGTAGGCAGCCTCATTGATATTAATTGGAAATAAACATTATAAAAATAGATCTCCCTAGGGACCTGTGGTGCCAGCCTGAAATCATTTGAATTTCAGTGGGATGCAATATTACATTAAAAGTGATATTCAAAGATGGTTTCTCATTTCAAGAGTTGAAGAATAAAGGGGGAATCAACTTGGACTCCTCCCTGATGACTGCATGTTTTATTCCAGTCCCTCTGAGGTTACTGCTATCTTGTGTCCTCGTTCATTTTTTAAAGGCAAAAGCGTAAGCTTAACATTATCATAATGTAATGTGTATCTATGTATGTGCACATTTACCTAAAATTAAGCAACAACATATCTACAATAACTTTGATTTATACAGTGCCATTATAAATCACTATCAAATAACCCCCACTTCTAATATCCTTTTGTTTTTCTCAAAAATGAATTGCTTTAAATATCTAGAATTATATAATCAAAACCTTGATCCATATCTTGAATTTCCTCATGCACTTAGCTTTTATTTCTTTAGAAAAAGACTCCAGTTTCCATTGGGTGGGCCAGTTTATGCTCAAAAGGGATCCTATCTCTTTAAATGGCACAAAGTAACATTTCCTGTCATCGCTGGCAGTTCTATTTGGTGGAAAACATGGACCAAGGAGACATGCTTCAAAGGATCCCCCGGGATGCCACGGCAAAGGCAGCGGTGCAGAGGCATCAGACACGTGGGACGTTGTCCTGGTTTGGCCCCCATTTCTCTTGGAAAGTATTCTACTAGAGACTGCTCATCTATGACATAGGAATTGCTAAAACAGCAGTTCTCAAAGTATGGATCAGGAACCCTGGAGTGCCTCCCTGCTCTGATAGATCTCTAAGATCAACATATTTTTGTTACTATTACGGTAATATTTGCTTTCTTAACTTATCCCAGCCGTACACCTTGGAATTTTTCAGAGGCATTGTGAGGCGTGTTCTCACAACAGACTGAATGCAGAATCAGAAACCCTCTAATAAAGCAGGCATAGAGGTGCAAAAATATATAAACGATTACCACTTGTATCTAAATTTTTGTTTGTTTTGGAAAATATAACTATTTTCCATAAAAAGTCATCTTAAGTTTATATAAAATAGGCTTATTGTTTTGACAGGGGCCATTGAGTTGGTTCTAACCCATATCGACCTTATGCACAACAGAACAAACACTGCCCGGTCCTGCGCCACCCTCCAATTGTTCCTGTGTTTGAGCCCAGTGTTGCAGCCACTGTGTCCATCCGTCTTGTCAAGCTACCCCTCCACTTTACCAAGCAGGGTGTCCTTCTCCGGGGACTGGTCTCTCCTGACAGCATGTCCAAAGTATGTGACACTAAGTTTCTTAGTTTACTTTTAATGAATTAATCAGTAAGTAACTTTTTTTTAAGCTTCTCAGTTTTAATTTCTAATATGGGAAACATTGGTAAGTATGCCCCACAAACATAAAAGTTCTTCCAAGTCTTCAAAAATATTTAAGAATGAGAAGAAATTGTGTGACAAAAAAAAGTTTGAGGACTACTGCAGTAGAGGATTTCTGAGATGCCTTATGAGGGTGAGGCATTCTAAGGCTGTGAGGTTCAATTGAAGTGACCTGCAATGAGCATTCACCTATGAACAAGAACAACGACTGAGGCCCCCAAAGGTCTGATATTAGGGGCACACCTGTAGATCAGTTGGTCCTTCCTTATTAAGTCAACTCCACTTCTGCTCTTCCCTTTCAAGCTTCATCTTTTATTCCATCTGCTTTCTGGCCTCCTTGCCAACATCCCCCACACACTCCAATTTAAAGGAGAATTAAAAAAATCCTTGAGGGCAAGAAACACAGTAAGATTGAGGATAAGAGTGTCCCACCCGCTCTGATCAGAGCATTCTCAGGCAATGGGTCCCTCTACTTACGGACATGATGCCTTTGGCTCCTGTCTTTCTAACCCCCAAGAATGGTCTGCAGAGTAGGATGCTCCAAATGACTGGGCATGTCAACAGGCCCTAGACAAGTACAATGAATAGGAACCTTTCTTGCCCGAGTTCCAGGTCACACTGACCGTAGGTGACCCATTTTGGTTGGGGTTTTCAGGCCACTCAGAGTTCTGCAGCTGCTGCGTATCTACGGTTTGGGAGGCACCACCACAAATTCCATCCAAATGAATGTCTGAGTAGTTTTCCATGAAAGGTGAGTCTGATTAGTAATTAATAAAAAGTAAGAAGACTATGGGTTTTCTGGCCTCACAAGTCCTAGAATCTGTAGTCTCCAATGCCTAAAAGGTTTTTGTTTTTTTTCATTATTAACACTTTCTCTATCGCCACCGGTAAGTTAGGGAGCTAAAACTTAAAGCCAAATGTGTCTCCATGATCCATTCTGGAAAGTGTAGCAATCCTTTGATGCCCTGTCATTAGAAAGAATGGCCACTGGCAGATGAAAGGCTTGTCTTATACAAGCAGGCATCGAACTGAGGTGTCAGCTAAGTCCACGCAGAAGATGCACACCAACCTGTTTGCTCCAATGTTTGTAAAGAATAATACCTAAGGTCAGAGGAGGGAATGGCATTAGAGCTTCCAGTCTGTGGACCCAGTTTGCAGAGGGCTTTGGATGACAGTGTAAGCCCAGAGTCCATTTGCTGGGTCCCATGTGGATGAAGCCTCTGGTGAATCCCCTCTGACCATTGGCAGGGATGTGGACAGCCATGCTGTCAGACTGCATTAGAAAGTGGATGAATGCAGACAGCGTTAGGTTAAAATGTAACACCTTTATTTGTTCACCCTTTTGACTAATTTCTTCTAATTTTTAATTTTCAAATTTGTTCTAGCTTTTAATATTTTCTACTTTTGTCAATTGAGGTTTCCCTAGGTTTTATTTTGTTATTGTTTTGTTGGTTTTTCTATTTTATTGCTTTTGTTTTGTATATAAAATTCGGGATAAATACATCTACAATAACTGAATCAATAATCTCTTAGGGTTAAGGCAGGGAGAGTGGGGGAAATGGAGAGTTAATAATAATAAGTACAAGAACAAAGAAAATGTTCTAGAATTGACTGTGGTGATCACTACACAACTCTTCTAATACAATTAAGCCACTGGGTTCTTTGATATGTGAATTTTATGTCAATAAAACTGTTTTTAAATCCATGCCAATCCTATTCCTAGTTACATTCCAGTTCTCCCATGCCAAACTTGACTTTACCCATCCATGAACTATGAGGATCATCTCTATAGTGGAAGGCTGTAGGGAGAGCAGAGAGACAGTACGGAAAGTGCTCATCTCTGCACTATCGCTTAGACTTCCCGGAGCACGACCCCATGCACACTCACTTACTCAGCCCTTCGCATGAGACCCGCACTGTCTTTGGTTGTAGGAGGGAGACTAAAGCACGTTTTCAAAATCCCTTCATGAGCTTATCACTTCACAGTTTTCAAAGCATTTTTCTCATTTGATCTCATTTTAGCCTCACAACAACGAGGATAATTCTCACCAACCCTAATGAAGAAAGCAGAGAACTATATTTGCCTTGCAATTATCATGTTGCCCAAAATGGGATTCCTCCTTTGGGAGACAAATGGTTCTTAGCACTGCATTTAGCTATCTTGGTTTTCTTTGGAAAAGCAGACCCTGATGCTCACTATGAATTGCTAAACTCCTCTCTCAACTTAAGCACAGACTAGTTAGTAAGTTGACTTGAATGGGAGGCAAGGTCCACACCTGCTGCATGCCCAAGGCTACGTAGGGGGAAAGGAAAGTTGGACTAGTCATGTCATCTTACCATTTTCACCAGACGTCTTGTCTTTTCCATTGGTTGCCCCAGCACCTTGTCGCTAAAGGAATATAAAAAGAAGAAGAAGAAATTGTTACTATGCATAGTCAGAATTACTTTGGCTTCCTTTGTTGTTTCAAATATCTCTTACATTATATCAAATTCTATTCCACATGAGCTTAAATGACTAAAGTATGCTTGATGTTCCCAAGAGGCCAGGGTCATGAGTTCAACCCAAGAAAGGACCAGGTGCAGGTGCCCAGTCCCTGTCCTTTGTGCACTGCGTTAAAAAGGCAATTCTCCAGTCAGGGCGATCAGATGATAGACTCTTGTGAGATGACCGAAGCAGCCAAGGCTTGGCGGAGCCTCAATCAGAAGCTTCACATTTGTCAATGGTGGGCATTACACAGTTATAATTTCATTTATGTGCAAGCCCTATTTTAACATACATTTTAATGAACTAAAAAAAAATCCATGAATCTTAGAAAATTCTAGATAGAGTGGGGAAAACATACGACACAAAACGCAAACTCTTAAACAAGACCAGGCTTGCTGGTGTGATAAGAGACTAGGGCTACTCCTTGGGACTATGGCTCTTACCCTTCATGTCTGGACCGGAACTGTGGTGGAATAATCAACCACTGAAAGGAAATAGCCAAAGGCAAAGTTCCGAGGGTTATTAAAGAAGGGGGGATGGAAGCAGGAACTACTGGGGGAGTGAAATAAGTGATGGGACGTTGAAGGACTGCAATTCAACTGATGAGTTGACACAAAGTATGTCTGAATTGTTGAAATGTACAATTGATGATCGCCTCTGTAAACCTCCTAATGCACAAATAAAATTTGAAAATAAGTAAAAGTAATGAAACAATGTATATTTAATTGATGGATAGGTCAAGAACAGAACATTTTCAAAACGTGAAGTCCTTCTGCATGGTCCTTTCACGGTGGGCACATGACATGATGCATTCATCAAAATCCACAGTGGTGTGCAACACAAGGAATGAATCCGCATATACACAATGGACTTTATAACAATATACCAAGACAAGTTCATCAATTCTAGAAAACTTACAAGTCAAGATGGACAATTTCTCTGTAAACCCAAATCTTTTCTTAAAGGGTATCACAGTTTTTAAAATGAAAGCATATATTCATAATCATTGCTCCAATTGTGCAATTATTTTTCTATCCTTTTTAAAATGTCTGTTCTATGTATTTTCACTTTACCAGGTTTGACCAGAAGTATGAATATTTTGTTAGACTTGAACTTTGGGGCAGGAATCTAGGTATGAGTTCAGGGTGCTGGGCAACATGCATTCCCGGTATAAAAATGCAAGCATATTTCCTCACAGCTCATTCCGTTACTATCCGATGAGGGTCCCTGGTGGCACAGTAGGTTAAGTGTTGGGCTCTGAAATGAACAGTGGGTGGTTCAAAGACGAGACTGCCAAGATTTACAGTCTCACGAACCTGAAGGAGCAGTTTTACTCTGCCCTCCAGCGTTAGGATCAGTAAGAATGGACTTGACAGAAATGAGTGAGTCTGAATAACAATGCTCTTAACTCCTAAAATCATACATATAACTCTCCTAACACAAGGAGATATTGTTTTGTTGATTCAGGGTTTTTTGGTGATGATGAGAAAATTAGCTCAGTGGTAAAAAGGGTGAGAGAGACGATCTTTCTTACACAAAACACATCAAGAAGGTTTTGTAAAAGCCAGGTGGTGAGACTTCAACTCACTTACACATCATCAGGAAAGATCAATTGCTAGGAAAGACCATCAAGTTTGGTGAAGCGTGGAGATGGTGAAATGACAGATTGACACTGTATCCTCAGCCCTGGCCTGGGACCCAACCTTGATCTCAAAGGGGCAGGTCTCCCTCTGCTGTACAGAAGCCCCCCAAAGCAGCACACGGCAGCAACAAAGGCACCAGGCAGGCTCCAGCTTCTGACACTGTATCCTCAGCCCTGGCCTGGGACCCAACCTTGACCTCAAAGGGGCAGGTCTCCCTCTGCTGTACAGAAGCCCCCCAAAGCAGCACACGGCAGCAACAAAGGCACCAGGCAGGCTCCAGCTTCCAGGTAAAGAAAACAAATGAGGTTCTCCTTGGGAACGTGCTTTGTCCACAAGGACTTAGTGAATTACTTAGTGGGGGAGCCACTTCCTTGCAGGAATGATATTGCTACATTATTTTCTGAATGGCATTTTGGAATAAGGGGCAGACCACTGAACACAGAGAAAACTGCTTCACCTTTTTATATGTGACCCCCTACTAAGAAATAAGCAGTTCCCTAACATTTTACAAATGGTTTCAAGACTTCAACCTGAAAACAGAATCAGAAATATAATCGTTAATCCACATTAGCTTTCCATGGCATCATGTGAAATCCTCAGATCTTTAGTCAAATCTTGATAGCCCATAGATGGATCATATGGGAGAAGCTTGCTCACTTGCAAAGTTCATCTAATTAAATAGGGTGATTGGTAAAGACTTGTCTAAACCAGAGTCACCCTTCCTATGCACACTGTTTAACTTGCTTGGTTGATAACCCAAGAAAAAGAGTAAGTCCCCCATTCATTACTCCCTGCTTGCCCCCTACACCCCCATCCCATCCATCAGCCACTTACTGCCATCAAGTAGATTCCGACTCACACGGACCCTACAGAGGATTTCTTCATGGGAGCAGATAGCCTCACCTGCCTCCTGTGGATCAATGGTGGATTTGAACATCTAATTTTGTGGTTAGCAGTCCATTGCTTACTTGACAGTGCCACTAGGGCTCCTCCTCCTGTTCCAGTCGATTTGAAATATAACATCCTTCTAAGTTATCAGTGATGTTTGCTGCTCTCAAGTGGACCCCAGTGACACAAGGCACAGTGGCAAGGGACCATGGTGATCCATAGGGATTTTATTACTCCTCCCACCTTTCCTTAAGAATATCCCCAGGCCTTTCATCCAAGACATCAAGTGATGGACTCAAACCTCACACCTTTGGGTTAGTGGCCAAGTGCATTAACCCTTTTTACCTCCCAAGAACTTCCTCCCAGGTCAGAGGGAGAAAAAGCCTCCTTTCTCCAGCCAGGAATGGAGACAAAAAAGGAACTGAGTGTGAACTTACATAACTCTGGACCCCTTCTTCATGAGTAACTCGGAACACCTTGAATTCCTTAAGTGCCAGACCTATCTGTCTGCACATAGACATATGAGCCTGCATTGCTCAGCCACACATCAGTTGCTCGTGCACAAACGGACAGGTAAAATTATGGCATCTCTCCCTGACCCCAAGCAGAAACCAGAAAACCAAACCAGTTGCCATCAAGTCAATTCCAACACCTGGCGCCCCCGTGGGTGCAGAGTAGGGCTGTACTCCACAGGGCTTCCCAGGCCAGCGCCTTTCCCAAACTCCTGGCCAGGCCTTCGTAACGTCTCTGAGTTTGATCCCTCAGACTTTAAAAGTTAGTAACCAAGCACTTGATCCTTTCAGTCACCCAGGGACGCTTACCTAGAATAAATGATCAATCTGTAATATAGATCACCTTCTTTGAAACGTGTTAGCACAGTGCTTACACATGGCAGATCTACAAATAAAGGTGCTCCCTTTCTTCTTGCTTGTCCTTAATTTGATGCCACAATGCTGGCAAGTTTGCTTCATGTAAACGAGGGTAATCTGACCGCCGCTGGGCAACCAAACCAGCAACACAATAGCAGTCTACAGTTCTACTCCTCGATTACTTAAAACTTCAGCTCTTCCCCACTTAATTCATAGACAGCCCAGAAAGAAGAGTCAGGTTCCGTGGAATAAAAGGACCTGGTTTCACAGTTGGATAGAGCCAAATTGAATGGGATCTGCATGCAAAGGATATATTCCTTCCACCACCAGCCCCACTGTCTTTACGTGCTTTAAACACCGGCACCTTTCAAATGTCATGGGTACTTAGTCACATAAAAAAATTACCTTTTAGAAACCTGAAGAGAACGAAATGATATGTGCCCAAGAGAGGAAGGGAGTCCTATTTTTCAGGATTTCTGTGATGGGGTTTTTGTGTCAGGTCTTATTTGAGGAAGGCAGAAAGAAACGGATGACGGTCGAAAGAAGACAATGACTTGCAACAGAAAATGGTCCTGATGAAAAAGACTTCATCAGCAAAGTGTCTCATCTCAGAATCTTTGGGGAACTTGCAGCATTTCACAGAAAGATTGGGGTGGAAGGACAATGACCCGAGTGTGCACCTATTCCCAGGATCCAGGGTGGCCATTAAGGTCTTGTATGGCACAAAGAGTCTACACCCAACCACTCACCTAAAGGCTGGTAGTTCCAACCCACTCGATGACACTGCAGAGGATGGGCCTGTTAATTTGCTTCCATAAAGATGGTAGACAAGGGTACCTTATAGCACAGGTGTACTCTGACACATGACAGGGAGGGGTGGGGGGGTCACCCAAGCCAGAAGTGACCCTACAGCAACAGGTTTGGTTTAGCATGGTCATGACACATTATTATTTTATCAGCAGGGGAGGTTAGTGATAAATAGGGATTGTCTAGAATGCACGCACTGGGGACAGACATGACCTAAGCACTTCCAGGTATCATCCAGTCATTTAAGTCTAGGCATTTAACATCACCAAGGTCTCATTAACCCGTCCAGTCTCCTTATACAGCTTATATCCTTTGGCACAGAGAGGAACTGGCTAAGATTACACAGCACTGAAGTGGAAGAGCTATATCCTTTGGTGCAGAGAAGAACTGGCTAAGATTACACAGCACTGAAGTGGAAGAGCTAGCACTCAACCCCAGAAGCCCCAGCTCCAAAGTTCTCCCTCTTAACCACTGTGCCCGAGATGTCTCAGTATCACGCATGTCACCCCTCCTAAAGGTCTCCCTCCGCAATCGGCACTGACGAGGCAGGGAAACCCAGGCTCTAAGGTGGCTGTGACTTCAGTAGGATTCTCTGGGTGGTGCAAAGAGGCAATGGACTCAACTACTAACCAAGAGTTTGACCATCAAGCCTACCCGAAGGCACTTTGAAGACAGGCCTGGTGATCTACTACCCCAA